GTAGGGTGTCTTGGAGGCAAGGAAAGAGACTGGTCAAGGTCACTGCTGACCTTAACAAGTAGTCTCAGTGGAGCGACAAGGGTGATATCTTGATTGGAATGGACACCGGAAAAATGAGAGATGAGGAAATAGAGACAGCATGTACAAAAAAACGCCCTTGAGAAATTTTGCTACATAGGAAGTGGCTGGAGGAAGGATGTGGGGTCAAGGGAAGGTACTTTTATTTTTATTTTTTTAATGGAAAACATTTTTAAATGGAAAGGAACCAACTAGGACTTGGGTGTGACATAAAGGAGGAGAAAAGATAGAAGTTAAATGGGACAAGCTTAACTGATATTGATAAAGTACTCTAAGACTTGCTTATAGTTCCGTTACAACTGTGCTGTACGATAAGGACACTTGATAATGACAGAAAATGAGTCCACATTGAGAGCTTAGCTTCGACTTGATAGTGGTCCATAAGAGGGCAGCAGAGCTAGGAAATAAAGAAATTGCTCGGCAAGGTGGTCCCTTCAAGATAATGATGACTGTTATATAAACTTCAAGGATATTAGAGGGAACATGGTCCTCCCTTCCCAGAACCTCAGTGACGTGGGGAGTTGGAGGTGGGATGGGGGGTGGGGTGGCTAGGTTAGGTAGAGTAGGGAACTATGCCTGACCCCAGACAAAAGTGGCAGCAATTCACAAGCAGGAAGGGCAACCCTTTAGTTCAGCAACTGAAAAATCTGCAGCAGCATACCAGGCGGAATTCACCAGGAGATGGAGGCAGTGTCTCAGAGAGAATGGGAGGAGGAAGGGTTACCCAGGAACTTTGAGAAAGAAGTGGTTTATGGGCAGCAGCCTTGCACGGAGGTTCATTCAGTGGTGAAAGAAGCCATTTGTTCCGGAAGAGCAGTTTAGAAGGAGTATGTTTTGTGTGGGCAATAGTTTATGAGTTAAGTGTTCTTTCAGGGAGATGGTTATGGGGCTAGTGATAAGCATGGGCGCGCTTGTTGAGAAATGCGGTTTGTAAGAGGCTTGTTTTGCTGGGGTGGTGAGGGAGTTGTTTGGTACAGTGAGAGAGTCCACAGGAGCAAAAGGAAGAGTCCTTGCTGTGGCCTTTCAAACACACACACACACACACACACACACACACACACACGTATATATACAGAGGTTGCCAAAAAAAATGTATACACATTTTAAGAAAGGAAAAAAAATGTATTAAAATTGTAATACTCAATATAAACCAATAACAAAAGATGACTATAAGTCACATTTGATTTCTGCAATTACAAGAGGTGCTCAAGCGCCCAGACACTTCTGATTATGAAGAACTACTGCTTGAGCAACGTTGACCATCTCTTAAAATGTGTATACATTTTTTTGGCACCCCGGCATATTTAAACTTTAAATTAAAATCTTATGATTATAAAACAATACATATTAAAGTAGACCAATTGGACAATATAAAGAACAACAGCAATAGAACAACAACAAAAAACAGTCTGTTTTTCTGCTCACTATTACCAGTTTAGTGTACTTACTATGGATTTGATTTGTTTTGGAAATATTTAATGTCTACTTTGTCCTCAACTTTTTACTTTGAAAATTTTCAAGCCTATAACAAAGTTGAAAGAATAGTGATCAACAAATATGGTGAATGTTTAAATTTTAAAAAAATTATTAAAGGACCGGCAGAGTGGCGCGTTGGTTAAGAGTTGGCTTGGGACGCCAGCTCTGAGCAGCAGGACTCCAGTTCAGATCCCACATGTGGGTCAGTGATGCTGCGCCCTCTGCAGCTAAGGTGGTGAATGACAGCTCGACCTGGAGCTGGGCTGCCGTGAGTCACCGGGGACAACATAGGCTGCAGTGGGGCTACAGTGGGCTGCTGTGAGCTATCATGAGTGGCTGGCAACCAGCGTGAGCTGCCGTGAGCGGCCATCCAGTGGCCGGTGAGCAACTGCCTCACCCAGGAAGAGCGCAATGATAATACCAACATGGGCCAGTGAAGCAACGTCCTCCACAACTAGACTGAGGAACAGAAGGACAGCAACTTGTCTGTTCCCCTTCCCGGATTCCCCAACGCTATTTCCCTCCCCCATTCCCCAATAAAATCTTTAAAAAAAATTTATTACAGTAAAAGACACATTGCCATTAATCCCCCTCAAAATACTCCCCATCACTTCAAACACACTTATCCCATTGTTCTTGCCACTTTCTGAAGCAGTTATGGAAGTCCTCTTTCATGAGTGCCTTTAGTTGCACTGTCGTGGCTGCCTTGATGTCCTCAATTGATTCAAAATGTTTTCCTTTCGTGGTCATTTTGACTTTGGGGAAGAGCCAGAAGTCGCCTGGTGCCAGATCCTGTGAATAAGGTGAATGAGGACACACCATAATGTTTTCATTTGACAGAAATTGCTGTACCAGAAGCGATGTGTGACACGGTGCATTGCCATGATGGAGGATGAAGTAAAGACACTCACAAAAGAGGACTTCCAGAACTGCTTCACGAAGTTGCAAGAACAACGGGAAAAGTGAGTTCAAAAAGAGGAGGAGTATTTTGAGGAGGATTAATGGCAATGTGTCTGTCTTTTACTCGAATAACTTTTTTAAAATTTAAACATTGACTGTATTTTTCTATCACACCTGTTACATACCTTCCATTTAAGTCACCAGTTGTTAACATTTTGCCACATACACACTTCCTTCATTTTCCTGAGCCATTTGAAAGTAAGCTGTTGCAGACATCATGTCAGTTCACTTTTAAATACATTGGCATGCATCTCTAAGAATAAGGACATTCTCCTACATAGCATTACCATGATCTCACTTAAGATCAATATTAATTCTCTAAAATCTGCAAATATCTTACTACAGATTATAAGTATGTTTTCTTTTCTTATTTCTCCAGCTCTCATCTTTGAGGGCAGAACCTCAATCATTTACAATCATTTACCTGGCCAGCTAGACCAAAGCAACTGTATACTGGAGTAGGTAAAAAAAAAAAGACTGGCCAGGAGCATGGGCACCTAGAAGCCTGTCAGAAGGGCCTCTCTCAGAGTCCAGGACTCTTCCTGCCCCGTGAGCTCATCTCAACTGCTCTCCTCCCAGCTAAGGGCTAGTGCTTTGTGTTTTTTTTTTGTTGTTGTTTGTTTTTTTTAAAGATTTTTATTGGGGGAATTGGAGGGATGGGAACAGTGCTGGGGAATTGGGGGAAGGGGAACAGACATGTTGCTGTCGTTTTGTTCTTCAATCTAGTTGTGGAGGACGTTGCTTCACTGGCCCAAGTTGGCACCATCATTGCGCTCTTCCCGGGCGAGG